AAAAATCTTACTAAAGTCGTGCAACTTGGTATTTATGTTAATAATGATCTAACAAAGAACCTTAACCCTCCAATAGTCGCGTACGGTCACACAGATCGACAGACCCTGTAAGTATCCATAAAAACCCCAAATATGCTTGCAAAAGTCCACCGCTCTAGCAGTACCCCCCTTCATTAGACGTTTCATTGAGACTGGCGGCACCGTTAGTTAGTGTTATGTTGTTCTGTTAGAAGTTAATATTGGTCTCAGGCACCGACGTGACTATTTACGTCCTATCGTAAACACTGAACTTTAATTACATGCTGTGTAACCGTTTCAAATTATTTTTTAAACAAATTTTCAAAAATTCATTTAAAAATAATTCCTTATAAATATGTAAAATAATAATAATCCCTCCACCTATCCGCCAAGTACGGAAACATCTAAATTAACTCTCAAGAATCCAACTGCAGTTCATAGTAGTTCAGATTTTGGTCTCATAAAATCCAAGTGCTGATGACCTGCCAGGCTCTCACGCTCTCACTGACAGCCATTTCTTTCTTTCTCTGTTCGTCGCCCAGCAATAAGGACGCATGTTTTGTGTTGGTCTTTAGAAGATAAGCCAAAAATTTCCCTTTTTTCTTTTATATTTCAAATAAATGCTTATTGTAGACCTTTACTGAGAACCTTAGCAATTTCCGGAAATCTGTTTATTGGCCCGATGTTACCTTGATTATGAAAACTGTTACTGTATTATTGGACCAAAGGCATGGAGTGACATTTAGATAGATAAAACAAGAAGACTTTCCTTTCGAATAACTGGCTATCGGGAGTTTGATTCGTTTTGAGCGTCAACTCTCCTCCATTTTGATTCCATTTGGAAACCTTACCAGGCAAGGAATTTGACTGCAAGGCAAGGAATTTGAACAAGGTGTTAAATGCAGGTGTCTTGATCTAGGTAAGCGTGGACATAAATTTAGCGTTAAGCATGAGAGAAAAAAGATGCTTGATCCTGATGTTAGGTCTGCTTAGGAATTATGAATGTACACCTTATCAAATCCTTTTGGCTTAAAGAATTTTCAGCAAGACATGCCAAAAAAGTTGTCACAGGGATAACAGACAAACGATCAAGAAGCGATCTTCTTTTTTTATCGTTTGATATTCTTTCTATCATTACGAAGCAGAATTCGGCAAGCGTTGGATTGTTCACCCAAACGTTAACTTAAAACTTAAGTTAAGTTAGACCATCGTGAGATAGTTTTATAATGACTCGTCGCGTCATTGCCATAGTAATCCTGCTCAGTACGGAAGGAACAGCAGGTTCAGATATTTTAATGACTCACTGACTAGAAGCAAGCAATAGTGCGAAGCTACCAACCTTAAGAATATACATGAATGCCTCTAAGGTTATATGCTTTCTAGTTAAAGGCGATAAAGATATTTCTTGCAGTTATTTTCGGTTTCATGTCGATCCTTGAAAGCAAATCAAATCTTTAGATGGACGAACATGGGTATTATAATGTTTTCTATGTTAGAACTTGGAATTTTTGTAAACATTGACTCTAGTGGAGCAGTTTCCACACTGTGGAAATTGACTACTTCAACTTGGGGATTCGTCTTGTCGATTAGACGAGACTCTTGATACATTATAATTATAAAAATCTTTTATATTTTTCTTTGTTGGTCATATATAAATGACGTCTTGTATTTATTGTCAAAAGGTAAATTTTTTGTTTATTTACTTTATTATAACGATCCACATTTAGGGTTAAACGATGACGTCAGTAACCAAATCGTTGGAAGTTACATGTTCGGAAAATGATTTCGTTATGTTCAAGAATCCTGTCCGTTCCTTCGATACTTCATTGAATCGCATTATTTTTAATTAAAAATTGAAAACCTGCAGTTACAAATTAACAAATTTGGAACAATATAATTTTTATAAAACCTTGGTATATCTTGAAACACCATTGACAGTGTTAAGAAAGCAAGATACTAGAACTTACATTTTCTAATGATTGGTTTTAGTTGTTTTTTATTCAACACAAAAAACTCTCTTTATTATGGTAATAAGGTTATTTGCTGATATATGTCTGAATCAATGACTTAGCACAAAGGATCAGCGAATGTGAATTCATTCTAAACATTACAAAGCAACATTACATTACATTAACATACATGCTCCAGTTACTGAAAATTGTCTTAATTTATGTTTTTTCATTTAAATAAACCATCGCATTTTTTTTAATAGAACATAATTTGGATATTTATTTTTTAATGGCATTGACAAAACATAAATTTTAATTACTTTCCACATTGCTCGATGGTTTCACTTATTTTTGCGTGATTTTCCAGGACGTTTCAAGCATATACCAGAGGTCATTAGTTAGGTTCAACTGAGTTTTACAATGGTCCAGTAATTAGGAAGTTCCAAAACTTTGTATATTCCTTTAGACCACGTTTAAACTATTATGAGAAATTGGCATAATTATTATAAGGTAATACTGTTTAATTAAAAAAAATAGCAACTAGTCTACATGCAATAATCAGGTCACTATAGCGATATTTATCAAAAAGGTCTCAGATAACAGGAGGTAGTATTTTTGTTAAAGTATTATAATAATGGCAAATAAAATAGTAATACCATTGATATATACACACATTTGTTTAAAAAACACGTATTTTCAGTCGACGTGGTGTAATAACTACAATGACAACGTGGAAAATATAACTAAAAGCAGGACAAGAATCACAGAACATCTAACAGACTTAGCAGTTGGAGCAGAGATAATAGGTTAAAAATAAACTAAATTGAAACCAAATTTATAATGCCTAGCACACAAATGCGAATAATAAAGCTTTCAGTTTATCCAACTCCACTTTAATGTAAGTTATCAGTTATCACATTAGAGATGTTTACAATTTCCTGGAGTATGTACCATGAGTACCTCTTGGAATCAGCTATTGACGTGAAAATTTTGTGTTTATAATAGGCCTTGATACACCTAATGACACTCTAGTAATGTGGTTGAAGTAACTTAACTATGTTTATAAAATCCAACCTTAAAAGAAGTCATTCTCTATGCAGAGTGCCTGACGGTGGTCCAGTGATTTGCTATTATTAATAAAACTGGAAATAGTAACCATCGTTTATTCAAATACTTCTTTTACAAAACTATTCAGTAACAATACTGTTCCCCACACAGCTCGGTTTCAGACAAGGATTTGGCACAAGAGAAGCACTTTATAGCTTAACTGTCCTGCTTCAGAAATGCAAAGATCAGCAAAAGATGTTTTGCTATGCTTTATAGATTACCAAAAAACGTTAGATTGTATTAATCATTCAGAATTAGTAAGATTGCTCCAGGAACGTTCCATAGATGAGAATCACCTTAAAATCATGAAGAATCTTTATATGAATCAAGGGGCATCTGTGAGAGTAGGACTGGAATCTACATCATATTTCTCAATCGAAAAAGATGTACGACAGGGATTGTGTTCTGTCACCCCTCCTTTTTAATCTTAAATAGAGCCTTAAGTGACACTGAAGATGGAATCAAAATCGACGGACAGGCTATTAGTAATCTTCTACTATGCTGATGATACAGTCATAATAGAGGATAGCCAAGAAGCGCTACAACGACTAATGGACACTAGAACGACTGGGCTTGAAGATATATATATATATATATATATATATATATATATATATATATATATATATATATATATATATAGTCAAGACGAAGGTAATGGTGGTTAGTAGAACACGAGATATGCAATTAAATATAAGAGTAAACAAGAACATCCAAAAACTTTCCTCAGATATCTCGGTAGTTGGATAGCTGAAGATCTAGATTCAGACATAGAGATACGTAGCAGGATTGAGCAAGCCAGAACAGCATTTCACTAATATGAGAACCTTGCTAAGCAACGTAACGCAACGCAACGTAAGCCTTAACGTAACGCTTCGATATCGCTTTGTAAAATGTTACATTTACTCCATACTGCTATACGGTGTAGAAATCTGGACCATAAAGGCCAATGTGATAAACAAATTGAAGGCATTTGAAATGTGGGTATTTAGAAGACTACTTAAAATTCCCTGGACAGATCACACAACAAATGTCGAAGTATTAAATCGATTGGGCAGAGAACAAGAATTGCTGCCAAAAATAAAAAGAAGAAAAATTGCTTATGAGTCACATATTTCGAAATTCCAAGTACCAGTTCTTAAAGCTATTATGGAAGGAAAAATAGAAGGAAAGCGGGGTATTGGAAGAAAGAAATATCATGGCTTAAAAACATAAAGGATTGGACAAACCTAGATGCCCATGCACTCTTTAGAGCCACACAAGATCGAGAGGAGTATGCCAGAATTGTCGCCAACATCCACTAATTGGATAGGACATCATAAGAAGAAGAACAATACTGTCATCATCCACGCTTTATAAATATGTTATGACAAAAAACAGAAAGAATAATTTTCATTTTTTGTATGATGAGGATTTCTGATAAACCTTAAGTATGCTCTCTGTATGCCCGCATTCCCACCGAGAACATACCAGTACCATCGATTCACGCTGGATTTCTAAGACCGACAAAGTTATAAAACGCCGTGACCCACGCTAGAGAACAGATCTGGTAAGCGCTCCAAACCTTTGAGTATTGAACACTACAGAAATATTTTGAACAAAATGGGAGATTTTCCAGAGTCTTTCAGTACTTATTTTTCTTAAATATAAGTAGTTACTGGTAAGAGTATTGGAAGGAACTAGTACGACACCAAAGTTAAGACAATGAAGCATGAATTGTAACTACAATTTCTGGATCAAGTTTATATATTATCAAAGTAGGTATTACTGCAAACATTTTTTTTGATTTAACTACGCTCATTAAAAAATATTTTAGTAATGAAAAATATTTAAATGTAAAAACTTTTAATATTTCTCCAGTTATCTGAGTACCCACCAAAACTTGGCATTAAAAATTTAAAAACTCATTTATGGACAATATTTCAATTAGTTCAAAATATCTTTACTGACAAAACCGTAGGACGTATAAGAACCCGACGGATGATATAATCCGTCGTCCAAGATAGCAGGACTACAGGGCCTTTTCTTTTTCGTCGATTTCGAGTCGTTCCGACAACATACAACGTGTCGGAATTCAGTTGCCATTTCTTTACATAAAGAGGACTGAAACATATAAAATTGGTTAGTGCATAAGAAAAATTAAAAGTAAAATATGACAAAAAGTATCATGATATAATTTTAATGTGATTTATGTCGAGTACGTAACATAAATGTTTCAAGGTTTATAGATAATGATATGTCTGATTTCAAAACTTCTGTAGTTTTAAGTTTTGCGGGCTCTACTGGCCTTAGACAATTTAACAATGTTGTTAATCATTTGGGTAGACTGCTAGATTTGGTCTTATCGCATTTTAGTTGTGAAGTGAAGCATGATGACTAACCTTTGGTCTATGAAGACTCTCATCACCCAGCTCTTCTAATAACATTTACGGATATATTTGTAAAATAGCCTAAATTTAAGTGTGGTTTGAAGCAAATAACTTACAACTTTAAAAAAGCAAATTTTCTTGCTTTATATCGAGAACTGTATGAAACGGATTGGAAATCTTTGGATACTTCTAATGACGTTAATGAAACTTTAAATAACTTTTATGATAAGATTTTTTCTGGGTTTAATAAGTATATTCCAGTTTATAAAAACTTTAGCCATAAATACCCCCCCTGGTTTGATGCTGATATCATTCACAACATCAAATTAAAAGCAAAGTTTAGAAAAAAATTTAAAAGATTTAAAAATCATTGTGATTTGCTTATGTTTCAACGGTTAAGACACCTTGTCAAATCAAAAATCAGTTTGGCATAAAATGTATATGTCGAGAATATCCAAATTGCTTTATCCATCAACCCTAAGAAGTTTTGGTCTTATGAAATTTAAAAAATAATAGTACAAGAATTCCTGGTGTGATGAAATATAATGACATTACTACCTCCTACCCACAAAATATTGTGAATGTGTTTGCAGAATTTTTCAAGAGTGTTTTTCTGTCATCAGATATTAATTTCAAGACTAACAACTCTTCCTCAGTTAACGCAGATTACTTAAATTTTTATCCTATTTTAGAGTCTGAGATAATTTTTGCTAGTAAGAAATTGAAAGACAAAATGACGTATGGACCTGATAATATTCCATCCTTTTTGATTAAGGATTGTATAGGTGCCTTAACTGTGCCACTATTAAAAATTTTTAATTTATGTCTTCTAAATAAGGAATATCCGAGTCTATGGAAGGAGTCAAAGGTGTGCCCAATATTTAAAACTGGTGAAAAGGGTCAGGTAGAAAACTTCAGACCAATTTCCATTCTTTGCAATCTATCGAAAGTCTCTGAAATAGTTTTGTATAATCGTATTTATTCACTCACTCATAATCAGCTGTCTCAATATCAACATGGTTTTGTCTCCAATCGGTCCACTGTGACAAACTAATTAATGGTCACACAATATATCTCAGCAGTTCTAGATAATAGAAGTCAAGTTGACGTCATATATACTGACTTTACGAAGGCATTCGACAGAGTTCACCACGGCCTATTACTTTCCAAATTGTGTCTCTTTGGTCTTTCTGAGGATGCCGTGACTTTTATGAGGTCTTACTTGTCAAATAGAACGCAGTTTGTTGCTTATAATGGTTACAAATCGGAAAAGTACCTAGCTTCTTCAGGGGTTCCACAAGGTTCTAATCTAGGTCCATTATTGTTCTTGTTATTTATTAACGATCTGTGTGAATCAATTTCTGCACCATGTTTATGTTATGCCGATGATTTAAAGATATATTCATTGATAAGCGACCTTAATGATTGTCATTTTCTGCAGAGTGAACTGAATCGTGTACATGAATGGTGTAATGCAAATCATTTGAATCTTAATGCCAATAAGTGCAAAGTAGTTAGTTATTCTAGGAAACAGTCTAATATATACCATCCTTATTATCCATATTATCGATGGCAATGACCTTGAACGTTTGAATAAAATTAAAGACTTTGGAGTTACATTTGATTATAAACTCAATTTTGTTGAACATGTTAATTTAAAGGTTAAAGAAGCACTTAAATCTTATGGATTCATAATTAGAAATAGTCGAAATCTCACTAATACTAAGGCAATTAAATTACTTTATTACACTTTTGTACGCTGTAAACTGGAATATGCTTCTGTCTTTTATTCACCTTTTTATGATGTACACATCCAAATTATAGAGCACGTGCAGCGTAAATTTTAAAAATTTTTGTCTTTCAAAATTAACGGCATATATCCCAGGAGGGGCATCAGCAATAGCGAGTTGTGTAGCGGTTTGGACGTAGTATCATTAGAATCTAGACGAATTAATGCCTCCCTAATATTCCTGTACAAGCTACTACATAATCTCATTGACTGCCCTGATATTCTTCGACAAATAAATTTTAACGTTATATCTTATCCAGTGAAAAATTCAATTACGTTCAGAAATACACAAGCTAGAACTAATCTTATGTTAAATTTTCCTCTGTTTAAAGCAGCTTACTAGGATGGCTGAGATCTACCTAGGTGATTAAGTAGTTTCTTTATGTTAAGGTAAAATACTCGAAAAATGTGTTATTTAGTTAGTACCTATGAATTATTAATATCTCATTTAACTTTAGTATTGCATTTTGTCCTATAAATGGATTCTGTTGGATAGTAAACGCTATTATTATTATAAACGCTATTATTATTATATAACCGAAAAACATTAACAATATTATAATGATATACTGACTAACAGGTGTTTTGGTGCTGGGGTATTTAGAATATTGATCACATATGGAATAATTCTAGTACGCTACTTGTTCAAAACTCTCACAAATTAGTCAATAAATATTTATTTATTTAAAGACTATTTCTACCGGTATAGTTTCTACTTGGATTTACTCCGCTGCTATTCTCGGGAAGTATGCTGATCCTTTGACTGTAAAGTAGCTTAGTACGGTACGGTAGGACAATAAGCGGGTAATTCCGATATCTATGACATTAAACACCAGCTTTTTCTTTCTACCCCAAGTCACGTAAAAATACAACATCAACAGACAGTCTCAAGCTAGCCATTGTAGAACATACAAGAACTCGGAGTATCTTTTCTCTCGTGAAGTATAGTCGCAAATTAGTGGTGCAGAGGCACAAATTCTCTTGTGTCAGATTTCCTAGTATATGACAAGTACTTACTTACATTCCGATCACTCCACTCATTCACTACATTAATTTCAGACATTCTTTCTTTATATTCTTCCGAATCAGTTTGGGTCCAAGTTATTTTAGGAAGCAGCAGATCAACCGAAGATAACTTTAGAGTTACTACAGCAATGTATAAAAAAGTCTGCACACTTGGGAGAATATAAGCTTTTTATGGAAAAGGAGGAGCGTAAACAAAGCCAGCAATGGTTTGATGTTGATTGCGCAAGAAAGAGGAAGCAAGTAATATTTCAGAGTATCTAGAAAAATTAGCTTAACTTATGCAACGAACATATACATGAATAGTAAACAGGAATACAGCACCTTTGTGACTTTAAAAAGAAAGAATTTTATGAGAATGCTGCATTAAGTTTAAGAAATACAAAAAATTCAAAATAATTTTGGAAGGCTGTTGGACTGTATAAGTTTGGAAATTCGACCATTGGGGAAGGTGTTAACAACAGTTTACTGCAACATTTTTCAAGACATTTGAGTACGGAGATAACAGCAGCTCCTGTGTTGTATGCAGAACCGTTTATCCTCAATAAATATTTAGAGCGGCCGTTTAGTATGGAAGAACTTAAAATAGCATTGCATTCTTTAAAACCAAATAAAGCACCCGGAGTGGATAGAATTGCTGCTGAGTTATACAAGTTTCTTCCAGAAAACGAAAAAGTGCTCGTACTTGGGCGTGCTAATAATTTTTTCGTCAAACCAAACTTTCCTCAGGGTTTTTATGGTACAACAATTTTGTCTCTTTATAAGAAAGGAAACATGGAAAGTGCAGAAAGTATCGAAGTATTAGCTTCTTACATGCAGTAACCAAACTTATTGTGGCATTGATTTTAACCAGACTTACCTCGTGGGTACAAAATAATAACATTTTAATTTAGTTCCAGGCAGTAGATAGAACCGACTATTTAACTATAAACAACATTTTTAATCTTATGAGTATAGCAAAAATCCAACATGCACGGGGAGTAAAATGTTTATACAATTTTTGTGGACTTTAGTGCTGCTTTTGATATAGTTGATCGGTGGACCCTTTTTTACAAGTTAAGTCATTTAGGATTCTCTACTAAGTGATGAATTTGTTAAAAAGTATGTTCGCGAATACAAAATCGGCAGTCTGGTCTAATGTAGGTCTATCCGAATGGTTTGACTGTAATGTAGAAGTCAGACAGGAATGTCTTTTTAAGTCCATTACTGTTTGCGCTTTTCTTGAATAACCTACATAAAGCATTGGGAGGTGGTTTGGAGATAAATGGTTTGATTATAAGACTTTTAGTATATGCAGATGATTTGGTTTTGATGGCAATCAATCCGAAGGTGCTACAGCGGATGATTAATGAACTGGAAAAATACTGCAGGACGTGGAATCTAAAAATGAATTTAGATAAATCCAAAATTCTTCTATTCAGAAGAGGAGGTGATGTGATCAAGGAATCTTGGAAGATAAATGATCGAGTATTGCAGGTAGTGATACAACTATAATTATTTGAGAATGATACTAAGACCCAAGTTGTCGTTTAAAGCTTATCTAAAAAAGCGAATAAGTTTGGCAAAAGTGACGATTCACACGGCTTGGAGTAGTTTAGTGTCTAATGCTGATATACCCTTTTTGGCTAAAGTAACAGTGTATGACTCGGTGGTATGATCAATTTTGACTTATGAGTCTCACATATGGGGTCTTTTTGAGTACGATGAAGTGGAAATAATCAGATGATTTTATATAAAAAAATGTTTTCTTGTCCAAGGTATTGTCCTAAATTTATTTTAGATTTTCAAAAAGGTATTGCTAGAGTCAGCCTATATACGATGAATTTACATCAAAAATATGTTAAAAAAATAATAGTCTAATATAATAGTTAAAGTGGTTGGATAGACATGAACTTAGTAGAGTGGAAGTAGTTACTATAATG